CACTTCGTAAACGTACGAGGGGCCAGGGAAAAACCGAAGGGTAGGACCGTGAATTGATACGCTATCCCCTTGAATGCAAATCTCAGGAAGCGCCTGTGGCGGGGGGCTACCTGAATGTGGAAATAAGGATCCTTAAAATCCACGGAGATAAACCAATCTCGCGGTTTGATGTGTGAGAGGATTTGCCTCAGTGTAATCATTTTGAACGAGCGCTTCGAAAGCGCGCGATTCAGCGGTCTCAAATTCAAGATTGGGCGGAGTCCGCCATCTTTCTTTGGCACTAGAAAATAATGACTGTAGAAGCCGCTCTCACGCTCTGCAAGGGGCACTGTCTCTACTGCGCGTTTTGCGAGAAGATTGTGTATTTCCTCTCGCAGAACTGAGGCATTCTGCTCCCGTACAGTGGACATTAACACACCGTTGAAACGGGGTGGTCTGCGGAAGAACTGAAGCATGTAGCTGTTCTTTATTGATTTCATAACCCACTCTGATACCCCTGGCAGCGCTTGCCATGCTTCTGTGAACTGTGACAGCGGGCGAGGCGGGCTGCACACCGTGAAGGATAACTCGCCGTTGGGGGGTGGGGAGTTTAATACCACACGAGTGTGAGAGTGAGTGATGGGGAACAGGGGAGTGAGAAGAGGAAAATTGCCCTGATATTGAGGTGTTTTTTTTTTTTACTTTATTGCACTGCATAGTGGAACAGTCAAAACACAAATATGGCAATCGTTCTTGCCGCCCGCAACAGGCAGTGGGGCGTGGTGAACACACACAGCGGAGTGAGCAGACTTCTTCAGTGGCTCGTCTTCGGCGCTGGGTGCAGCTTTCCTCCTCTGAGAGACAGCGTCAGGAACGCGGTTTTGATTACGGTGCTGGTGGCCTACCGCCTCTGTCAGGGCGGGGCCTCTGGATCTTCGAGCCCTGATGGCTCTTTGGCCACAGCTGTCTTGGCCTCACTGCCGGCTCATGTTCGTGCCGAACAGCAGCAGAAGAGGCGTGCGGCGTTCCCGTGCGCTGTGCTGATGAGGAGCGGGAACGCGCAGGAGGGTTCGCGCCGGTGCGTTTTGGCAGGAAGTGGCTAATGGCCTTAGACTGTTTCTGTGCTTCAACGAAGCGCTCCGTGAACGTCTCCACTGCCGCTCCAAAGATACCTGATGGATTCATGGGTGTGTCCAGAAGGGCCGTCTTCTCTGAGTCTTTCAACTCAGTCAGGGTAAGCCACAGGTGACAATCAAGCTCCACAAGATTCCCCATGTTGCGGCCGATCACGCGAGTTGTAACTTTTGTCGCTCTGAGGGCCAGATCTGTGGCGTGTCGGAGCTCTTTGAAAACTTCAGGGTCCGGGCCACCCTCATCCAAAGACTTGAGAAGTTTGGCCTGATACACCTGGAGTATCGCCATCATGTGCAGTGCTGAAGCTGCCTGGCCCGCCACGGAGAAAGCCTTGCCAGCGAAGTTTGCGGTGGAAATTTCGGTGGGGTGTCCTTTCGGCCGCGGTCCGACTGAACCACGATCTGACTGGAGGTACCACTCGTCCAGACGGCTTCTGGCCGGCTCGGCAGGAGGCGCCCACTCCAAACCGAGCTCATCAACCGCCTTGGACAGGACGCGTAGGAGCTCAACATCACTATGATGGAGGTCCCCCACATCACTGCCGTGGGGCGCAGTGTAATCCAGCGGGCTGTTGGACCACTCCTCCCTCGCAGACGGTGCCACCGAAATGGCATCATCTTCATCCTCAGCATCCTCCATAGCACCAAAAGACATCACATTTTGCGCGCCGGGGGAAGGACGGAGATCAGCGGTCATGAAGCGCACTGGAAGACGCATGATTCGTGGCCATCTGAGAGTTCGATTGGCTCTGCGCAGGAGAGGCAATCGCGAGAGGTCATCTTTGTCCGAAACTCACCGGAACACAGCAGGGGAGAGAAGGCGTGTCCTCTGCAGCGTGTAGATCACGGTGAGTACTCTTGTTGATAGGCTTCTTGCTTCTCGTAGAAGGTTGGCTGAAGAAAAAGATTTTGAATGGATGATGTACAAGCGCTGCCTTATATAGAGAGGGGAGCCCCTCCTATTCCGCGCGCTTGAACGCCATTGGTCAGTTTCACTGGCGTGATTCAATAAGGCTTCAGTAGTATTTGGAGGAAGGGTTTCCCCATAAGTATAGTAATGCAATGTCGAAGTGAACGAATCAAAAGGGAACTCCTACTCCAATTGTATTGTGATTTGTTTGGCATCTCAACCGATTTGAATTGTCACATATTTTAATAGATTTTAAACTGGCTCACGGTTAATCGTTACATCCCTATATTAAAAAACAGATTTAAATTCTAAGCTGATAACATTATTTATGTTAGTTAGTTGTAATTTTGCAGCATAAATGCATTCATGCTACATTTCAGCATCATTAAACTGTCTGTGTAAATGCATCTAAATGCCACATCAGCTGCTTCAGTTTCTTTCTGCAGTGGAAAAATACATTTTGATGATACTGATTGTGATGAGTGGGGTGGGGCCGAGAGCCGTGGGAACGGAGCGAAGCCGGTGGAGTTAATGATAATGAGCGACACCTGTGCCACTTACCGGTTTCGAGTCCCACGGAGGAGCTCCGGAAGGATAAAAGGAGGAGTAACGACAGTGAAGGCCGAGAGAGGACCAGGCCTGGATTTTATGTTGTTTTGTTTCTGTTTGTGCACGCCAGTTGTCCGTGAGGGGCTGTCGCTCTATTTTCAGTTTTGTGTTTATTTTATTATTAAAGTTATGTTTAAATGTTCGCAAGTTCCCGCCTCCTTCTTCCCGTGACTACGAACTTTGTTACACTGATTTAATTTGATTGCTAACAGCCCTATAGTGTCTTATTACACTAACTGAAATTATTAATAACATGTAAGAATTTGATATGAAAGATGGCGCATACATTTAATAAGGTTAGAGAAGAAAACTGGCCTTAGGCAAAAATGACCTGAAAATAAATTTAAGTAAATTAGTCAGCTTGAATCATATAAAATGTAATTTCCCAACAAAATTGAGGACAGTGAAAAAGCTGAGTTGCTAGTAATTTTGGAAAACCACTAGCCACAGTGGCTGCAGAGCAAAAGCATTAATGACAAGCCCTGCCTGTAATCATAGTGACAGAGACTAAAGTAAAAGTAAAGAGTGATTGTTTCTCCTCTGAACACACACTGATCTGATCTGGCCTCACCTTCACTACAGGTTTTACTCTCAGAATCAGAATCAGCTTTATTCTGTGCACAGACACACAAGGAATTTGTTGTGGTTTTTGTGCTCTGATTGGCCAGCTATCCAGTGCGTTGTGATTGGCCGAATACCTCAAGCGTGTGACAGAAATGTTACGCCCCTTACCATATTGTGATGCCCTGTCCGGCAGGAGCGAAACTCAACCGGTTCACTAAGAAGAACCGGTTAAATCGAACGATTCGTTCGCGAACCGGACATCACTACTCTGTAGGTGTGTTTTGTGTTTTCGCGATATACTCACATCAAATCGCACAGCGTTAAAACAACAATTACGATATTATCGCAGACCATACATATCGCACACCCCTATGCTTAGATTTTTTATAATGCATCGTCTTCTTATCGATCCACCAGTTCACATTTAAAGCTCTGCGTGTTTGCAGGGTAAAAACATGGGTCGATTTTCGCATCAGTCTGAACTCTGAACAAAACAACAGTTTTATTGAACAACAGTTTTATTGACTTTGAAACGTGCAGCGCTCATGTTTATTTAATGAAATCATAGCTTTTTGAAGTTTAACCATCACAGCAAGCCATATCACAATTCTGGTCTTTCCGTCCCAAAATGTAAGACCTCTTGAAATCATAATTAAGACTTTCTTGTACAATTTAAGACTTTTTAAGGCCTTAAATTTGATACAACTAAATTTAAGACATTTTAAGACTTTTTAAGGACCCGCAGGAACCCTGGGTTATGAGTCGTTATTTTTGTGTATGTCACTCAGAAAAAACACCTTCAGGGAGGCAAAAATGACTTCAGGGCTTAAAGAGTTAATTTAGTTGTGGAAACAAGCGTACATATCATCCTGAGCTGAGATATTGAGGTTTCTGTAAGCACCTGTATAACCAAAATGTGTTGTGCACTATGGTACAAATACAGATAGAGGGAATCGCTCAAAATGTGGAATTTCTGAGTGATTTTAATTAGGAAAATAAATAATAAAATGGTCAAGCCACCAATTGGACCGCTTGAGATGGACTGACTTGTATTTCTCAATTCACCTTAACTTTTTATTTCTAGTACACTGCAGTTCTTCAAGTGTTTAAAATGTGCACATGTGTTGGCAGTGAGCATGGATAAACCAGTGTGCTTCATTGACACGGGCTCGGATGGGAAGCTGCGTGTGCAGCAGTCGGCGCTGCAGATCCTGCAGCAGATCCAGCAGCCGGTGGTGGTGGTGGCCGTGGTGGGGCTCTACCGCACCGGGAAGTCCTACCTGATGAACCGCCTCGCTGGGAAACAATCAGGTCAGCGCTCATAGCTCACCGCAAACATCATGCAGTTCAAGTGAATGACATTACAGGCACTAAAGTCACTGTCGTCATCAGGGTTTGCGCTGGGCAGCACAATTGAGTCCAAGACGAAGGGCATCTGGATGTGGTGTGTGTCCCATCCCACTAAAGCAGGAACCACTCTAGTGCTGCTGGACACCGAGGGACTCGGAGACGTGGATAAGGTGACCTAACAAGAAAACACAACTAGCATCACAAGCAGTTTCATGGGTTCAAGAATACTTTCACCATATTCATATAAAAACTACTGTTTCAAAGCTGAAAGACTAAGATAAGGCGCTTCTATATCAGAGCACCTGAAATTGAAATCAAGGATTTAAAGTTTGTTGCAAAGAGTGCAAGTGTTTCATGAAGGCTACAAATGCACAAACAATTAAAAGTAAACGAATGAAGATGGAGAATGAACTCCTGAATAAAAGTCCCACTTAGGACACTTATTGGCCAAATAGGAAACTTATCGGGTGATGCTTATAATTAAACAATGGCAAAAAAAACTTGGACCCCTGTCCATGATTGTCTTTCTCTCTCACAGGGAGACCCAAAGCATGACACCAACATCTTCAGTCTGGCTGTGTTACTCAGCAGCACTCTGGTCTACAACAGTCGAGGGACGATTGACAACAAGGCTGTAATGGATCTACAGTATCCTTCTGAACATTTATATAGAATGTATAGAACGTTCAAACAAACTCTTTATTAAAAATCACCCGACTACATATATAGAAACAACAAGATGTTTCAGCATTCATCCAAACACCATCTTCAGTTGTTAAGACATAGGAAGCTAACTTGTAAGTTGATACCTTTCTTCTGCATGCCACAAATTACGCATTTTCAAGGCAACTTGATGCAGTGAAGAACACAAAATACATTATATGCTGCTGTGCATCCAAACATATTGCAAAACTCAACTGTAAACACATTATTTAGCTTTCGTTGCCTAAAAAAGGAACTAAATTCTAAACTCCTACAAAAGTAATTGCAAACTTAGATTGAACATTTCAGTGATTGGAACTCTTTCATATTACACTTAAATACACTTTTTAAATATATAGAATATTTAGAACTTCATTAAAATGCATTTATTATGCATTTACAGTATTATTGATTTTGGAATTAAATCTTTTACAAGACATTTACCTCATAATAAAACTTGTAGATGAAGAAATTAAAGCATTGAAATTACTGTTTTTGTTACAAGTTTATTTATTAATAAATTATTTAATTACTTCTATGATTTCAAAAAAACATGCTTTGCTTGGTCTTGTTTAAAATGAAATGTATGCTGCCCATTCGTGTTTCTTGTCAACCTGCAAACACGTCGCACATTTGCTCTGTGTGAATGATAGTGTCAACCCTAGAAATACATTCCATGGACATCCTTACAGCTGTTTTTTTTTATTATTCTAATAAACTTTTTCTGGATAATGAATCCTGTTTTTTTTATTCCAGAACTGCTGTTTTGTTATCCTAAATTGGAATTCTACAAATAGAAGTACAAATTCAGTGTTTCAAGTGATACTTAATTACATAATTTTTTTCTGTCACAGTTTAAGTCTACAACTGATCGCTTCCTCAGCTAGGTTTAGTGATACTAAAAAGTGTTTAGCACCAGTGTTGTGAATTTGCTTAGTACCTCATGGAATTACACTTTTGTTTAGTTAGACTATGCATCATGAGTTGTTGTTGCTTTGTGTTGATGCCTGAACAAACTGTCAGATATGTCACTGAACTATCAGAGTGCATCAAGGTCAAATCATCAGATGAGGATGCCGATGATTCAAGCGAGTTTGTGAAGTTCTTCCCTAGTTTCATCTGGGCTGTGAGGGACTTCACACTGGAGCTAAAGATCGATGGCAAAGATGCAACAGAGGATGAGTATCTAGAGTTTGCTCTGAAGCTGAAACATGGTAATTTAAAAATACTGCAGATAGTCCTTATAATCACTATCACAACTAGTTCTTGTTACTGTGCTGAATTGTTTTGTTATTCAAGCTTTCTATTTTCTAAGCATTTTATGTCCAGTAGCTCAACCAGCTACACTCCTACAACAGACATGCTCTTTTCTAGAATTGAGAGCAGCTACAGAATGTGCTCATCTTTTCTAGGCACTTCGAGAAGTGTGATAGAGTACAACTTTCCCAGGGATTGCATCCAAAAATTCTTCCCTTCCAGGAAGTGCTTCACTTTCCCCTTTCCAACCGCCCCAGAAAATATGTCTTGCCTGGAGAGCTTGAATTCTGCTGACATTTCCTCTGAGTTCTTGAAGGTCACAGATCATTTCTGCCAGTTTGTCTTTCATGACAGCTGTGTGAAGAGGCTGAAAGATGGACACACAGTCACTGGAAGAGGTGATTCGAAAGAAAATTTGAAGAGTTTGCATGTGCATACAGAAAACCATCTGCTTATAAATAAATTTTTAATCACTGTGTTTAATTTCTTTCTTTCTCTGAAGTTCTGGGTCATCTGGCAAAAACATATGTGGACACCATCTCAAGTGGGGCTGTGCCATGTCTGGAGAACGCTGTAATAGCAATGGCAACGATTGAGAATGAGGCTGCAGTGAAGGAGGGCCTTCAGGTTTACCAAAGTGGAATGGAGAAGCTGAAGGACTCCTTCCCTCTGGAACTGAAGGATGTGTCCTCAGAACACCAACATCTTAGCAGCACGGCAACACAAGCCTTCATGAAGCGTTCCTTCAGGGACACTGATGGGAAGAACCTGAAATCTCTAGAGGTAGGCAATGTCCGTTCATTTAGGATGATGGTGAACCACTGACCCAGTAACACTGGGCAACCAGCTGAAAAAATTGGTGCACAACAATTTAGAATCTTAAAAATCAAGCAAGCATCAACCAAACGTTTAATATTATCAAAACTCAATAAATTATGTTGCAATATTGATAACTATTAGTCCTCTGATCAAATATTTTAAGCATCTGTTTGTAAAGTGATTCAGTTGATTTTAAAATTGTTGTGCTTGCTTGTGACCAACTATTAAAACAATATGAGAAATAGAAGTAAAGATCCTAGAGTGCATGAAAAGTTTTGCTGCCTCTATTGTTAAGTACGGTTATGAATGGTTATATATGCCTAAAGTTAAACTGAATAATATTGGCTACCTTTTTGGCATGCTTTTGTTATTGACAGTTGGGAATCAAAAAATTACTCCTAAATATTTAAAATCAGAAACAACCTTGACTGCCGCCAGTAGGACCGGTACCAGAACATGTGTAAGAAGCACATGTGAAACCACTCTGTTCCAATTGGCCCACGTAGCCCGTGACACCAATGGTCCAAAACAACGAATCAAATGAGGGTAATGGTTAATGAAATTATGTTTTGGACAGAGTAAAGTTCAGAAAAGTTTTAGTCAATAAGATTTGGTGGACTTTGATTTTGCTCTCCATGTAACAAAGAGACTCCTGAAAATTTTGAAGATAGAACTATCTCAGTAATGACCTTCCGGTCCATTAGAATCTCCCAAGATGGTTCATTTTCAGGAATTTTGTGACCGATCATAAGAGGTAACAAACGTAAAAGCATCCAGTTCTTGTGTGCATTACCACTTACTGTACCCTTGGTGAAACTTGACTTGTTTAATACATTTGGCTTGTTAACCTTGTGCACTCTGTAGGTGTTTTGTTTGCTTTTCGCGATATACTCGATAATATCAAACCGCACATCATTAAAACAACAACAACGATATTATCGCAGACCATACATATCGCACACCCCTATGCTTAGATTTTTTATAATGCATCGTCTTCTTATCGATCCACCAGTTCACATTTAAAGCTCTGCGTGTTTGCAGGGTAAAAACATGGGTCGATTTTCGCATCAGTCTGAACTCTGAACAAAACAACAGTTTTATTGAAAATGCTCATCCATTCTTTGCCAGCAGGTGGAGCGTTTGGTAGAAATATAACTGTTTCCCCTGTAACTGCTGTACACAAAGCAGCACAGCACCGGACTTTGAATGTGCAGCGCTTGTGTTTATTCAATGAAATCATAACGTTAGCCTTTTGAAGTTTAATCGTCACATTCAGCCATATCGCAATTCTGGTCTTTCCGTCCCGAAATTTAAGACCTCTTGAAATCTTAATTAAGACTTTCTTGTACAAGTTAAGGCTTTTTTAATACCCCGCGGAAACCCTGTAAAGAGGAGAGATGTGGAGAGGAGAGTGATGGTCTCTCCTCGGTCTGATTCACTACAGGTTTAATGTGATTCAACATTAGATCATTTGACACAATCATGACACTTACAGTGAACAAGTTTGTTATTGTTTGTTCTCTTTAATTTAACAGTGTTTTATATGTTATGCTGAGAACTTCAGGAGCTTATAGATTCATTGTCACAACTGAATCTTATTCTCATGTAGTAGAGAGAGTTTAGGAAGATGATGATATTCAACTCACCCGTCACATTGAGAGAAACAGAGTTTGATGGTGATGAGAGTGAACTTCCATCTATGTGTCCTCTACACGTGTACAGATCCTGATCAGACTCAGTAGCTCCTCTGATAGTGAGAGTGTCTCTGTTTACAGTGTAACGCTCAGATGTCTGTGACGTCACTCTGTTGTAGGTTTTGCCTTTATACCACTCATATGTCCAGTCACTGTAAGACTCAATCACACACTTCAGATTGACTGTCTCTCCAGTGAATACAGGACTGTCTGGTGTCACAATCAGTGTAGATCTGGGTAAATCTGTAAACAGAAGAAAATAAACTCTGAACTGAATATCTGACTTCAGGTAGTTGATAGTGATGCAATTGTGATTAAAATTTACTACATTATGATAAATGTTGTAATAAAATATTTTTATTCATTTGTTTTGTCAATTCAACTGGATTTTGAAATGAGAAAGTTATTAAAACATTATTGAACAGTCCCTGTTCTGGTCGGTAGGTGGAGCTTGTTTTCAGTCAGAGGTTTCAATAAAGCATTTATTTTAGAGAGATCATTATAGTAATAATCTTCAGAGAAAATGGAAAATTTACATCTAACTTCTAAGTTCTGTTGTCAGACTCCTACACCATACCTAACACCATACTGAATGAACAACATTAAGTATAGTTGGTGCACGAGATCTTAACCCTTATGCGCTGGTTGTTTAGGGCAGGGGTTCTCAAACATTTTGGGGCCAGGGACCACTTGCATGGGATTTCATCCCCCCAAGTACCCCTTCATAATTTTAAATGTTTGGGCATATTAGAACTCTTAGATGTTGGAACTTCTGTTTTTCTCTTTTTTTTTTCTTAATGTTTTAACTGTAGTAATCAAAAAGTATATTTAATTAGTGAAATCATAAAGCTTATACACTAACAACAATTTATTACAAATATATAGTCATATGATTTTTGTATTTATTTTTTATTTTTTTCTCAGCGGTAATCAAAGCATGACTATGGGTCACGGACCTCCAGTGCTCCACTTTGAGAACCCTTGCTTTAGGATGAAAACTCAGGATGTTTGGTGTCTCCCCACAGCCCAGATGTGTTTTTTCCCTCTTCTGTAATAGCAATCACTTTATCAATCTTTTTACTCTACAGTTGTGCAGTTTTGGTGAGGTTTTTGGTATTTAAGTTTACATGAATTAATACGATTTAAAAAAAAATATATATATTTATAACTTTTTATGTAAATTCTAACTTTCACTCATGTAGATAACATGGCCAATGTGCTATGGTTTAGTGGTAGATCGCTACCCTTAAATAATTACATAAAATAACATGAAATTACAACTACAGCCACAAGATGGCTGCAATGATCACTCAATGACTCATTAGATTTGTGGAGACATTGAAACATCATCATTATAACAATAAAACAATGACTCTTTTTCAAAGTTTAACTTTTTTTGTACTAAAGTGCCATTTTTCCAGTTATGTTACAATATTCTCACAAATTATGTAACAGAGATTAATACTTTTTTTTTTTTTTTTCATTTGTTTGTTCACATATTTATGTTGTAATATTCATGTCATTATACACATTTGTGTCCTCATAAACCATCATGCCAGATCACCAGAGTTACACACTGTGGATGTTTTATAGTTTCCACTTCTACAATTTCTTTGTATTTATTTTCTGCTTTGTGGCTGATGAAGTGACTTCATTTGACAAATTGAAAAAAAAAAAGGGCATGATTTTAGGAACCATTCATTTATATTGTGAAGTCTGGGGAGACACTGAACATCCTGAGTGTGAGTGCCTTTTTTTCTTTTTCTTTTTGTAGAGCTAGCAGGTTCGACAAAGTAATGAATCTCATGCCATTTATATGAAGGGGAACATTTATTTATTTTGTCATTTGGCATCTAAAATAACCCTGAACATCACAAAAGTGTTAATGGCACACATTCATTTTTGCAATAGACTACAATAAGATTTTTATTTATTTATGTATTTATCTTTCTTTCATCCTAAACTGCAGAAATAGCACAGCAGTGTTTTAGCAGCATGAGGACCTACACATACAAATGATGCTGGGTGAAGATGAACGACAGCAAAATATGGACATGAATTATCAGCAAAGAGACAAATGTGTAAACTACTACAGCACTATTCATATTTGTTTAATAAATCAAATGTACTTCAGTACGGCACAATACCTTGAGTGAGTCCAAAGTGGATGAGGGACATTAGCACTAAAAGCAGAAGAAACAGATATGAATCATTTCCATTCGTTCAACACAATGCAGATCACAGAAACATGTCTAGAGTTTCAACAGAAGGTGTTTCTCTGTTTTGATGCTCCATGAGAACCGATGGTGGATATTCTCCATCATTTAACACACACAATGTCATCACAGCATGGGCCTAGAATACGCTGGGAACGTGTCTCCCGACTCCACCACTTTTATTAAAATGTAAATTCGTCCCACGCATGTTTTCGGTCAAGTGTGTTCAGGTTGAGGCTTTCAAGGGCCAGTGTGAATAAGTCTAGATTTAAATTCAAAGAGACAAAATAGTTTATGCATGTCCCGGCGTCTTAATCATATCCAAAATGAGCCGATGTGAATATTATGGAGTGTTAAACACTCTCATGCAGTTTATATTTTATAAATTTTTGTAATTGTATTATATTATTTGTTGTTCAGAAGACAAAATGACGCAAGATTGATGTGCGCTGTATCCCTTCTAGCAAACCATCCAGCTATCGAAGCTAAGCTGAATAAAAAACAGAAACGTTTAGACTGATGAAACATGAAGACAACAAACACACGATTGTGACAATATATGGTTAATGTGTGTGTCATCTTCAGGTAGGCTAAAAAAAATAAATAAACTATGTGAAAAATGCAGTGCTAATTTATTTATTATAGTATTGAAACGATAAAATATATTTTCTGCCCTATTCTCTGATCAAAATAGGAAAAAGTGTATAAACCACTTATAAGTATATAAAAGTATATAAACCACTCAAAATTGCCATTAGGAAAATATAGGGAATACATATAGAACACAAATGATTGGTTATTGTCCATCAATGTATTTGATTTAACCAATTAAAAGAGATAAGAAAAAAAGAAAAAAATAATATCCTGT